ACATCTTGCAACATATTATCTAGACTATCCATTTTCAATATTTTCATATGTTTGTAGATCTAATTGATTTTAACTATTTTTGGAGTTTAAAATTTAGAATTAGGTATAAAAATAGATTTTTAGATAATCTTAAGAATGATTTACACCAAAATTACATGTTAGGATAAAATTTGGAGGTGCACCTTAATTGGATTGTTTAAGGTTCCAACCTTACATAAACCACACCCAAAAATAAATGGTCTCATTTTAGACACTCCCTTATAATTATATTTTGACTTTATAATATACAAAATTGGAACGGATCCAGATCTGCATTTGGACCCAGATCTTATATATAGTTTAGGATCCAAATATGCCACCAAATATTCTGGACACGACTAGATCCAAATCCTAATCAGATGGATAATTTTTAGTTCCGGATCCAGATTTGGATGGATGAAGACCCGATCCGAAATTCTCAAACTAGTCGGGACCTTGCCTTGGCCGCTCTTTTTGGGGAGTAGGGCCAGGCTAAGGTGATGGCCGGCCCTACCAGGCCTGGCCCGTTGCCGGCGCTAATTGTGAAGCGAAATTAGAGATAGAAAAGCCTAACATATGTGTCTAATGATTGCCATAAGCCCTATTACGGTAATGAAAATTATGTGTTTTTGTGACCTATGATTAGTAAATTGACCACATTTGTTAATATTTTGGAGATAATTCCGGCATATCAGAAAATCCCGGTGCAGTAAAGAGAGAGGCTTGCAAATCGCAGAGCAGAAGAGAGAGAGATTTGGTAGAATATCAGAAAGCGTGTATGAAGATTGAAGAGAGATGTTTCCAAATCCCATAACAGGAGAGAGATGGACTGTGCGGTGCATCTACCGAATTAGACCTTTCTCTCTCATCCATCACAGTACTTGCTGCTCCCCTGTGCACCATGTTGACTAATGAGCCCAATCCCCATCCCCATCCCCATCCCCATCCCCATCCCATCCCCACAAAGCCAGGAACCCCGACTTTCTATCTCTACAAGAGTTTCTCTCTCTAAACCAGTACGACCCCCCTTCTCTTTCATTCATTCATCGCAGTCAAACCCCACTCCACAGCAGAAGCCTTTTGGGGTCCCTCGAAATTTAATTCCCCCACTGCTCTCAACCCCACTTCGGGTCGCCCTCCATCGTAGAGAGAGAAAGGGAGGGACTCAGTTACCAAGGCCATAGGATTTGTTCCCTTCCATGATGTGGATTCTTCCCATCTGTTTCTCTCTCCTCCGTCTTGTTCCTTTCTCTGACCTCTGTTGCACTGCTTCCTGCTAGAGAGAGAAAGAGCTAGAGAGAGAGAGGAACAAAAGTTTTGAGGGAGACCACATAATTGAGAGGGCTGCCCTTCCTTTTTCTCTATCTGAGCATGGACAGTGCGAGCTTCTTTACTTCACGGCAATAGCTCTCTCTCTCTCTCATGGTGGGTTTCAGATGGTGCCATGATGGTGCAATTTGGCCTCCTCTGTAAAACCACGACACTCCTCTTTGTCCTCCATGTCCTTGTCTCTGTTTCTCATGGCAATCTCACCACAACTGAAACTTCCATTGCAGGCTCAATCCCCACAAATAATCAGGTACAAATCCTCATGAATTTTCCTTACTTTTTTCTTTCTCCCTGCTCTCTCTAAAAGCTAATTCGAACCTCGAACATGGTTCAATCAAACCCCATTATGTTGCATCTACTGGTTCCATTCCTTACATCTCTCTCTACAAATGTATGAATGTTTATGTTTTGTTAGTGTTCTTGGTTTGCAGGATCTGGTAGATGAGAAGACAAGACTTGGTTCGACGCCACCGAGCTGTCGCCACAAGTGCAACGAGTGTTACCCCTGCAAGGCGGTGCAAGTCCCTACCCTCCCAATGCATGATAGAATTCGCAGAGGCTTCGAGCCATCAGTCCCTCTCTCTCTACCCGATGATGGCAAGATGTACTCAAATTACAAGCCCATGGGATGGAAATGCAAGTGTGGAAGCCATCTTTTCAACCCCTAGCTTCTGGATTTTGTACAAATTAAGAAAAAACCAACTTGTTTCTAGAGAGAGAGAGGTCCTCTATCCATGACAAAAACACGGTAGAGAGAGAAACCCAAAACCCAACTCACTCTCAAAGCTTGTTTCTCTAGAGAGAGAAACCAAAAGCACCCACAAAGCCTGTTCCTCTGATGAGAGGGAGCGAGAGAGAAACATGCAGCTGATACATGATTTTTCATGAATTTCTTTCCCCTGGTATTCTTTTGGTCAATACAACACAGCATAGTGATCTTTGTACACTTCAAATTTTAATGTTATAGGGCGCTTTACAGAGCCTTTGGGGTGTGGTCTCATTTATTTTCTCTATCATGAATAGGACCTCTCTCTTCAGTAGTGTCTCCATCACTTCTACTTATATTTGATGTCTTAAATAATTTGCTCTTGATGTGTACAGTTCAGTTATGTATACATGATATCTTTTAGTTTTGGGAGCCAAACCATCTTTTTGAGGTCAGATTCCGGCTGATTACCTGAGTTTTGTGGGTCATAAATGGCCGGAAAGGCCGAAAATTAGAGAGAGGAGAGAGAGAGAGGGGTGAAGTGTAATGAGGTAGTGATATTTATTACTTTGCAGGATGGATAAAAAAGGAGAGGGGCTTTTCAGTTCTCATTTATGGCCCTTGTTAATCGTTTGCCGAGATGCATAAATACGCATGCTTCACAGGGGACTTGGAGGAGTGCTTCTTTTATCGAGTCCAGTTAAGGCTAGGTCAAAGTTACCAAAATACCCCGGCTTCATATTCGATGTTTCGGTGGCATGTCTTTGAATTCATGGAGGTGTTAGGCGATACCATACACAGGATGTGTAGGGGTGGTGAACAATCCCTTGACCATGACGAAGATGAACCATCGGGGCCTTGTACCTTATTTGTAAGTGAACCATCTATTTTTTTTTGCACAAAAAGCTCAATTCTTAGCCATCGTAGGTGAAATGAATGGCTTAAAGTACGTTGCATTGCATGGTTTAAGAGGTCATATTTTGGGCTTTGTGCCTAGTGGATGACACACCTCAACTAGCAGCCGTGATTGACTAGTTGGCCCGGTGGTCATGTAGGTGGGCACCTAGATAACTAGGCGGCCCAAGAATACGAGGGGGGTTTGGAGGGAGAGAGAGAGAGCATAGGTTCTATATGTGTCTAAGGCCTTGCAACAAACACTTAGACGTGGTGTTCTGGCCTTGCAACAAACACTTAGAGGTGGTGTTCTTCTTTATCTTTCATACATATGTAGAGAGGGAGAACGGGCTCACATAAAAAACTTGGAGGCCATTTTTTTCTCTTTTTTGTCATTTTATGTGTGGAGAGAGAGAGAGTATATGGCTCTATGTGTATGTGTGTGAAAGAGAGTCTATGTGTGAAAGAGAGAGATGCCTCGCTTATCACACTCGGAGGATATATTCTTCTTTCTTGTCTTCGTTTTATATGTAAAGAGAATGAGAACATACATCTTTCTTCCTTGATGTAGAAAAAGTGACAAAAGACCAAAAGGTCCATGTTATGAATGCATGGTTGAGAATCAAAATCGTCTTTTCGTTTTCTTCTTCTTTTATTTATTTATTTATTTATAAGCAGGGTCTAGTTGAGCCTAGGTAGGCACCTATGTACATGTCCATGGCCCATGTGGTTAGGTACGGAGGGCCGAATGTTTGGACACTGCCCATTACTTTTGCGAGATTGCTTCTTTTCTTGGCTTCCTTCAATTTGAGGTATGAAGAGAATATGAGATCCTCGCACTACCGAAGGCGGAGACTGAACTTATGGTGTAATAGTCATGAGGATAACCTTGAGATAGAAGTTTTATATTGGGAAATTTACGTACGGGCTGAGTTTTTATACAGTTATAATGGAATGGCTTGAAAATAGCCCGTTATTACCTGAAAAGACGAATTTTCGAAATTTTTTATTTTTTACCAAGTTTGCCTTCAATCCGATTTTTTAAACATCGGACCGCTTGATAACCCCACTATTTTTCATTTTTTACCTAGTTTGCCCCCAGATTTTTTCTGGAATCCTTGGTTCACTTAAAAAAATTCAACAGGAGGCAGCCCAATGGTTCTAACATCAAACCGCTTGGTTAACTTGCAAAATGCAACAAAATGTGGTTCGATGTTAGAACCATCGGACCCCTTGGTTTTATAAAAAATTGCAACAGAATGCGGTCTGATGGTTATAACATCAGACCGCTTGGTTAACTTTCAAAATTCAACAGAATGCGGTCTGATGTTAGAATCATCGGACCGCTTGATTTTCATAAAAAGTCTCAACGAGATAAATGTTCTCTTTTGTAGACAATCCAAAAGTAAATAACCTTCACCCAGTTGACGTGGGCAAGGGAAAAATAAGGTAAATAATAAGTTAATAACATTAAGAAGGTGATAGTCACATCAAAACAAGGTAAGGAGCAAACCTTTTCTTTAAGGGCCTGTTTGATAACTGGAAGTTAAATTATGAATTGTAAATTAGAAGTTCTTCTTTGCTGGGAAGAAAGAAGTTAATGTAAGAACATTTGGGTTTCTGTGTTTGATAATCTGCTGGAATGTTAAATAAGTTTTGGGTTTCTGTGTTTGATTACCTCCTGGAATGTTATGTAAGTTCTAAGTACCTGTGTTTAATAACATGCTGAAAGACTAAGAAGTTCTGGGTATTTGTGTTAGATTAGCTATAGAAGGAATAAGCAAGATGCAAAATATTAAAATTGAGAATTATGTATTTTTTATTAATCTTTAGAATTTTATTTTTTGAGATAAAATATCGATTGAAAGTAAAGTACCTTGGATTGAGAGAGAGAGAGAGAGAGAGAGAGAAGAGAGAGAGAGAGTAGTTTTATTGATGAGTGACAAAAGCATTTTATATATATATATTTGTACAACAATTGAGGCAGATGTTGCATGATAAACGTCATTGCACCTAAAAAATGAAGCAGTCTCTAGTTAATGTCAAGCACAACCTCAATTCAATATTGTGTACCAAATCATTAGTTTCCTAATCTACTATCTAAAAATAGAAATCAATATATTTTATTGACTATTATGGGTATATAATTTGTTGAGTCTTTTTACAATTATGAAGTGGAAAAGTCTTTTTAAGATGTCTTTCTTCTTAAACCGAATAATCTCTCTTTCTTGAGCTCTCTCGTTATTTCTCACACACACACGCACACATGCTCCCTCATATCTTATCGGCGATCATGGCAATTATAGATTTGGTTTCTTGTATTCTATTGGACTGTGCTATAATAGCTTGAGCACAACATACAAAGACACATGTACAATTAATGCCCATTTGCAAACAATAAGAAACCAACCCATTCAACAATAGCATGTAGTAGCTTGAACACAACTTAAATATACATTCACCACGAATGCATCCATATCCCAACCTCAAAAATATTTCTCATTCAACAATAAAACAACATTGTTGTTTGTCCCACAATGTTCCCAACATAAAAAAAAAAAGATTTAGATAACAATTAGAAATTTAATGAAAATAAAGTTCTTTTTTTATCGGCTCACGAGATGTTAAAAGTTGTGGATTTTTCATCCATTTTTCTTTTACCGGTTCACGAGATGTTGCATGAAAATGGAAAAGACAAATACAAGAAGAAGAACTTTAGTTATACATAGGAAATATAAAATATGTTATAATTGGCTCAGGTCAACAATGTCGGCTTGTTGTACTGCCATTCGTCCATTATTTTTTTGCTCTTGTTCATGTGATTCTTGTGGGTGACTCCACTATGGTGCATGTTGGCATCTCAAATTTGTCATGTTGTTGACATCTGTCATATACTTATCACACCACTAGAAGAATTTACAATTATTGTCCTAACACCGATTACATTTACTTTGTTTACATTGATAGAATAGTCTATTTGGGTTGTCACTGATACTAGATGTATATACAGCACAACGAACATCATAGTGAGGACATAGACGGGGTGAGAAGCCCCCAGTATTTGTAGATGTTGTCGACATACCTATTGCATTCACAAATAAATTACAATATAAACAAATTCTACAAGTTTCTGCTCAAAGATAATTTTAGTTAATAAGAATAGAAATAAATAACAATTTGCATTCTTTCTGGCCAAGGCTTAAACATAAACTGAAAAAATTCTCCAACATGCACCAAAATGAAATTAAAGACTTCTTTGTGTTAGCTTGAAGTTTGGATATATGTCTGCACTTACATATACACGTCTACATGACTCAAGTCATGAAATCTGAAACGGCATAAACTGATAAAAGAGTCAAAACAAAGAATTGGCAATACCTTATCTACTTTACCATGGATCACCAAAGCCACATTCTTGTCCTTTGGGGTTGGCTGCAAAAAAACAAACAGGTCATTTGATAACTTTGCAATAACAAAATACAATTGTCAATTAACTATAGAATAATGGAATCCTGCATGGGTAGAGAGAAATAAAGTAAATAATTAGGATTCAACATTCAGAAATGATAGAGAAACACACATTATTCCTATAAATAGAAGTATCCAACTTTCAATCAAGAAAATGTCATATAATGCACATGTAATGCCCACCAATGTCATAGAACTTATTAGAAAGCCTGAATTATTCAACTACTTAATACATGTGATAAAAAAATGTTGCAAAAAATGGTTTCAATATAATAAATGAGCTAAATAACTTCTAGCGATTTAGGTAGGCCTCCCACAACTGTATCGCCATAGCGTCTCGTGGACTAATGTCATCATCATGATCAGCTTGCCCCTGAGGCAATTGCAAGATACCATCATCTTCTTCAATTATCAGTTGACTCTCAACCCTCATTCGGAAACACAACACTCTTCATGATGTAGTTATGCAATATTGCACGTGCAGCAACTACATCAACCTGTGTTCGTAAAGGATATTGCATTTAATTTCTGAGTATATGAAATCAGGCTTTCCAATGCTCAAATGTCATCTCCACTACATTTCTAAGCGTTGAATGCTGCTTGTTGAATAACTCCTTGTGATTCTGAGGAGCTCGTGGGCCTGAAGTAAAATCGTTTAGATGGTAACAGACTCTTCCATATCGTCCTATGAAGGTACGCATAGTAGGATAGCCACTATTTACGAGGTAGCATTTTCCTATTCCATGTTTGTGCAATGAGTATATTATATGATCAAATATTAAACCACTAAATATTGTACAAACCGAAACAAAGAAATATAATGTAATGGAGTTACTGCATTCATTACCAATTGCATTATATAGGGCCTTAGAATCTGATGCGGATCCTTTCCAACCTGTAAGTACATAATGGAAGCACATGTTGAAAC